CCCCCTTCTTCCACCCCCTCCTCGTGCACCACGCCGCTCCACGCCACGTCACCGACGTCTCCGTACCGTCTCGTCGGTCTCGTCCCGCCGCGCGCGCACCGACAGCTCAACAAACTCTTCTCGACTTGACTTTGACTACCGCGAGGCCTCTTTTGGCGTAAGGGTTTCGTTCTGGTCGGGGCTGTTCAATTAGCCGCTGGGGCGGGCACGCTACCGAGCGGACATGCTGATCCCGTTTTACTTTCTAGCAAACCCAATGTCCTCAAAGGTGGGGGCTCATTGAACACTGGCGGTGGAGAAGAATGCCTGAACCCTCGGTTGCCCCGAACCAGCAGGGCAAGGAAGGACTGACCCCCGCACATGAAATTGTTAATGATTAGCCAAAACTGTTCAGTTTGATAACTATTTTCCACCGTCGGAATTTCTACTGTAGGCTCGTCACACTCTGAAAAATATCGTAACTTTGCGAAAAATTTGTAAACTTGAATTATAATTTAAGTTGTAAATTTATGAGAGTACAGTTTCTACTCGCCAATGGATTTTAAGTCGATACGTACTGCATGTATTTTTACGATTACAAATTGTAATTATACAACTCGCGTCAAAGGAAAATTTTCCTGTAAACCCTCTACTATTTTTCACATTGTAACAACAATCGCACCGTAAAAAGCAAAGATAATTCCGCGGTTTCGTTCGTGCTGTGTGTGGCGGGCTCGAAAACTCATGGTCACTGGTTCCGTTATAAATTGTCTCAGGCGTAGGCCTATTCCACTCTTGTGACATATCATATTGGAAGGGGAAAAATCTGTCTAAAAGCAAGTGTTTTTAGCAACCATTTTCATATTTTGTGGCGCACCGTTATATTCACAGTTTTGCTCTCTGAAACGACCAGGTGCCGGGTCGATGCAACACTGAGCTTTATGCCAGACATTTTTGGGACAAATTTCAACAAAGCGGTGAGCATGAGTTTTAGTCCTTACCTACCACTTGAGAAATAGCGATGAGTTCCGATATGCGACTAATAAAGTGATGACGTTCTTGTTTCTTTACAATAATAGCACTTTTTTCGAACACACACTAGCACATCAGACCAGACAACGATACAAGTTTTGTTAAATTCGACGTCGTGTAATTTAACAATAAGCACATTGTAATTGTTAAGAACGATTCATGTTGCTAACAACTTTATAAAGGAGTAAATGTCGTAAAATTACTTGTCAAAAGCCAGGAACTAGCAAGTGTCCCCAGCCCACACACACACACACACAGTGGCTTCTTGAGCGTGTTTTCCTCTGCGTACAAAGAACATAGCGTTGGGCACTTTTTACCCAACTTTCGGCGCATTTAGTAAGATGCACAGCGTCCATCACGTTGGGGCGTTGCCGACAAACTAAATATTTCACCAAAGGAAGTACTTTTTAAGTGGGACCCTAGTCTAGTCTGACTATATGACAGAAAAAATAGCAATGTATACTGCATTTAAAGACTAGGAGAAGAGCGCAGACGCGTACCGTACACAGCATATGAAAAAGCGATTTGTTTTGAATCACATCCTCTTGTGTTGGTGGGCTTCCGTGTTTGGGGCGGATAACTGATGATACGCCGCAGCCGCACTCCGAAAATACGAAAAGGCCGACGCTGCTCACGGCTCATTTCGGGACCCGTTGCGTAATAATTGAGGGGTGGGGGTGGAGGGCGCACTTCTTGGGGCAGGTCATTGTATCGAGATAAGAAGGTGGGCTAGATGCGATTTCAGGAAAAACACACGACGTGACCAACGTGATGTACCCGAATTTGCCTTTGAGCCGACAAGCAGAAAACAGTGCACTGATAAACTTAGTGTGCAACTCCTCTTTGAGCATTTCCTGCACAGTGTGCCTTCAATCTAAGGAAGTGTGCTCAACTGAGGAGTTGCACACTTGCAAGTGCACAACTACCGAGTTGCACACTTGCAAGTATTCAACTTGCAGTGCACGCTAACAGTTGAACACTTAGTTTATCAGTGTAGCCCTGCCGTGCTTGTAGTGATAATGCCAGGCTTAAAAACACAATGCACTCTGTTGACTGCGGGCGCATCGGGGCACGGGGCACGTAGAGTTCAGCCCAAAGGAAACTTTTAGTGTCCAAGTGCCTCCATTTTTTCTCAAACGGCACATAACTGTTTTGACACGGTAGGATCCTGACCATACTGTATGAGGTTCTCCGCACCGTCGTTGCGGTTGCCCGACTGGCCTGGCCAACGACACATTAATAATAGCGTAGAAAAATCCGAGTGCTCATTGGTATCCACGCTCAATCAGCAGGCATCTACCACGAGAGATGGGTGTTGGTACCCCACTGCCCCGCACGACCACTTGGCCACAGATAAGGCGCTTTGCTTATCTCTGCCGCTATGCCCGTTTATTTTTCGGGGAGAGATGAGCAAGGCCGGGTGAGAGGGGCCTCAGCCGAGCAGAAGGCTATCGCCATATAACGATGGCCATTTTCTTCTATTTTTAGAAGCATGATTTTTTGTTTCTTGTTCGGAAGTCATGTAGGTGACGAGGAAAATCCCCCCCACGCGCTTCATAGCGCAGGGCTGTGATCAGCGATGGGCAGCAGTAGGGGGATGGCCGCTGCACGCCCCCGCAGAGCGCACCCAAGTGCACGCCCCCAGGGCAGCCATCCCTAGAGGGGCAGTGGAAGTGGCGTTGGGCCGTGCGGACAGTCACGTGCGCCACGCAGCTCTCTCTCTCTCTCTCTCTCTCTCTCTCTCTCTCTCTCTCTCTCTCTCTCTCAGGGTGCGCTTTAAATGAAATGCATACAAACGTCTAGCGAGCAGGGGTTAAAACGCTCAATAGTCTGTAAGAGGGAGAGAGAGAGAGCGACCTTAACGCAGGCTGTGCTGTTGCTGCTGGCGGGTCCCTCCGGTTCCCTCCCGTGGGCCAGTCACCGGTCAGCAGAACCCGTCGCCGCGACCTTTCGAGGCGAAGGCAGACACAAAGTATACATTTGGACCAGTTCCGTGCGAACTTTTAGCGGTTAACCAAGGAGACGACTCCTTATTCGGCCCGATGAAACGGGCGCAGCGGCTCTGCTTAGAATCTGCCGCAGCCCACCGCGAGGACTCCACAGTGTCGCACTTCATGTAGCGGTCGTCGACACCCCCGGCAGGCAAGAAGAAGACGGCTGTTGCACCGCGACGGCGCGGGGTGCGTGTCGGCGGCGGCGGGGCTGAGGAGAGGGGGAGGCGGGGACAACACTATGGGACAGGGGGATCACTTTCACCTTGGGCAGCCGCATCCCGGCGGGAGGCCCTCCCGGGGGACACGCAACTGCTTGATGTCACACACACACACACATACACTGCGCGCGTATCCAGGATGGCGTGGCGAGGCGGGGCGTGGCGGAGCACGGCGTCGTGCTTACCGTTGAGGATGATCTGGTGCTGGCGCCACAGCTGCTGGTAGTGCGTCCACCGCGCGGCCGAGTCCTCGGTCACGGGGCTGGACTGCAGCTGGTGCAGCTGGTGCAGGTGATGCTGCGGCGCGGGCAGGTGGTGCTGCAGCTGCCGGTGCGCGATGTTGTTGTGCGAGGGTAATCCACCGTTCATGTTGTTGTTGCTGGTGTTGTTGTTATTGTTGTTGTTGTTAAGTCCATGGTGGCCGTTGAGGCTGCCCAGCAGGGGCAGCGCGTGCGTGGCGGGGCTTGGCGGCGGCGGCGGGGGCAGGCCCTGGAAGTCGGCAGTGGCGGCGCCGCCCCCCACGGCAGCCACCCTCGCCCCGCCGTCCAAGTACTGCACGTTCACGGACACGCTGCACATCGACATGGTCCCGGTCCCGGATGCACGGCACTCACACACTCACAGCGGCGCTCAGCCGCTCAGCTCAGCTCCATAGCACTCACAGGGTCTAGCACTCACTCGCTCACTCACAGCGCGCACTCACGACGGCACAGCGCGGCAGACGGCTCTCGGACGGGCACTGGCTGCATGTTCCGGGCTGCCCGGGCCGGGGCGGGGCGGGGGGCCCGCGGGG